ATGTTTATATATATATTTATATATATATATATATATATATATTTATATATATATATATATATATTATATATATATATATATATATATATATATATATATATATATATATGTATATATATATATATATATATATATATATATATATATATATATATATATATATATGTATGTATATGTATATATATATATATATGTATATATATATGTATATGTATATGTATGTATATGTATGTATGTATGTATATGTATATGTATGTATATGTATGTATATGTATGTGTATATGTATGTATGTGTATGTATGTATGTATGTATGTATGTATGTATGTATGTATGTATGTATGTATGTATGTATGTATGTATTATATATATATATATATATATATATATATATATATATATATATATATATATTACATACATACATATATACATATATAATATATACATATATACATATATATATATATATATATATATATATATATATATATATATATATATATATATATATATATATATATATATATATATATATTAGTATACATATACATATATATTATAGTATATATACATACATATACATATATATATTAGTATATATACATACATATACATATATATACATATATATACAAATATATACACATGTATGTATGTATGTATGTGTGAAACATAAAAATAATATCAATTATGGTAGCATATAGAGACGGATTCAACCCACTTCAGACATTTATTCAGGTATATCAATTTGCTGTAGAGTGCTATGCATATCTGTTGAATTTAGTGTTTTATACATTTTTTTCAATATTTGTGAGTTAATTGTATTTTTAAGGTATTGATTTATTATTCATTCAATTATTATACAGATATGTATATAACTAGAAACTTCCAGTAATTAGGCATACATTATTACCATGTTTCCCTGTAATTCTTACCAAATTATTAATGTTTGATTTCTACTAATTTTTGTTGGACTATTAGTGCAAAACATTAAGCAATTTTTGTTTATGGTGAATGTATAATAGTTGCAATTTTCTACTTAGAACTCATCCATAGTTTTTAGTGCATGTGAGAAAATCTTTTTGTCACTGGTTGAAGGGTGCAGTTCCATAAAACTTAGGGATGATGTAAGTATAACAAATATGGCTTGTTTACAGCAGAGTGGAAGCATATATTTTTTGAGTTTGGTGAATGAATATTTGTTATTCTACTTTTGAAGGGTGTAATTAGTTTGTTGCAAATGTAACTTTTAATCTTTGAAAGGGATCAAGATACAGGGCTAGATGTGTGAAGTCCTCCATACCTTTGGAAAATCCATCAATTACTCAATTAGTGGGGCTAAGGCTGAGGGGGATACATTTCCACATCCGTGCATTATATTCAACCATGAGGGTCCTTCTTGGTGAACCTCCAGACAAGTCCATGGCCCATCTCCACCTCTTCACAGTCTCTCTCTCTCTCTCTCTCTCTCTCTCTCTCTCTCTCTCTCTCTCTCTCTCTCTCTCTCTCTCTCTCTCTCTCTCTCTCTCTCTCTCTCTCTCTCTCTCTCTCTCTCTCTCTCTCTCTCTCTCTCTCTCTCTCTCTCTCTCTCTCTCTCTCTCTCTCTCTCTCTCTCTCTCTCTCTCTCTCTCTCTCTCTCTCTCTCTCTCTCTCTCTCTCTATCTCTCTCTTTCTCTCTCTCTTTCTCTCTCTCTTATCTCTCTCTTATCTCTCTCTCTCTCTCTCTCTCTCTCTCTCTCTCTTTTATCTCTCTCTCTCTCTCTCTCTCTCTCTCTCTCTCTCTCTCTTTCTGTCAAATATATTTTAGCTCCCATCATCACAAAATTGATACTCATTAGCTTCATGGGAATAAACCATATTCAAATATATGCATGTTCTAAGTTATGGAGGCTCCTGGGTAGATGCCTATTTTGACCACTCCTAAATCTGGCCCTGTCAGTATGTCCAGCAGATTCTTAACTTTGTATATTTTGTGTGTTGCTATTCATGCATGCAATTATGTGTCATTTGTAGAATAATTTTTTTTATTCAATGCATGATAACACTAGAAAAACATTTTATCCTATAGATTTGTTATTGCTTGTGCATTAGAGAAATACGAAGTTAATTCAGTTTATTTTACTATATGGATGGTATTTTGTTGTTGATATGATTTGATAACCAAGAACAGCAGGTATTAACAGCATCCTCAAATATTTTCATCAGGAGCGTGAAAAAATATCTGCAAGTGAGCCAGCTTTGGACAGTCCCAGGACCTCGTCAATGCTCAACAAGAAAAAAGGAGCCTCACCATCTGAGGAAGGAAACTCCTCTGATTCCTCCATGATGGAAGAAAGACCCCCAAGTGCGGACTCGAGAAAAAAGTCCAAAAGTTGGTTCCGTAACGGCATATCTAGTAGTCTAAAGTTTAGTAGAAGCAAGAAACTTAAAGAAACAGACAAAGATTCAAGTAAAAATAACACAAGTAAGACATAGATATAATTTTCTGTTGTAATAAATGTTGTTATTATTATTATTATTTTTTTTTTTATCATCACTTTTTGCTTTCTTTATTCAGTTTACTTCATGGTGGTTGTCATGGAATATATTTTGTTCTATGCAGGGCTATCATTGCACAACCACGCTTTTTTATAGGAAAATCAGTAAGAAATCATTCACACCACTCTCTCCTTTTATATGTTCCGATAGATTTTTCCTTCCTTCTTTAGCTTATAGCTTTCATTTTCAGTTCAGTAAATCAGATTGCACCTTTTGTAATCAGCCCTAATGAGCTTTTTTATAATGATTGCAAACCATTCTGAGCAGGATTTTCTTATTTAATGAATGTCTTCCTTGCAGAACATCTGTCTGCTGATTTCTGTCTTCATGCATCTCAGTATGCTATTTAATTAGCCCCTTTTTTTTGTCTTGTGTACATCTATGTCATGTATCCTAATGCTAAAAATTAGGCTATCAAGTGTATATTTATAAATATGTCAACTTCCCATTTCATTATAGTAAAAAGAAAAGAAAAATGGTTCTATTCCAGTTTTATTGTTTACCTAATGATTGTAGGGTGTTTTCCAGTGATGCACTTTGCAAGACTATGCTAAGAGTAAAATGGATAATACCTTGTAAATTATTTATTTCATGAAATTTAGACATCCATGTTTCCATGGACTCTAAATTGGATTTAATGCTCTTACATCACAGTATGAAATTGATATATTGCTTGTCTCGTACTGTTATGTTATCCAGATTTTTTATATTATTACTATTTTTTTCTATTATTGATTTAGTAATGAGAATGCATTATGGCTTTATACTGTGTAAATGTAACAGAAATTCCTATTGTTATTCCTTAAGTTACTGTTATGGTTCCTTTTTATTTTTTTTTTTTTTTTTTTTTAAATCTTCATTTGTGATACTGATGATACTGAAATGAAGAATGTTAAGATCTAAAGAAGCTTATAGATTGCCTCATGAAAAGTCCATTTTTTATATGAACTATTTGTTTTAAAGGTTGAGTATGATTGCATTTGAATCTAGTAGGGCAGATGTGATTGTATTTAAAGTGTGTGGTCATGGCTCTTGAATATCATAGCAGAAGATGAAGTTGCAAAGACACTCACTTATCCTCACACTCACATTCACAATCACACGCTCACACTCAACTCATATTCACTCTCACACATGCACACTCATACATGCACACTAACACTTACACCCACACTCATTTTCTCTTTCTCTCGTTCACACTCACTCACACAATCCCTTTACTCATACATACTCTCTCACTCACACTAACATAGACATGCATATTAGCAAAATTAAGGAACAGTATCATTACTAAATCTCTTGCTGATTATCCTGGACCAATGATGGTTTGCTTTACCAGTCTGTAAAGTTTTATGTAATTTACACTAATACACATGGTATCTAGTACCCTATTTAATAGTTTTCATATCACGTGCATTGAATTTTTTTTTTTTTTTTTTTTTTTTTTTTTTTTTTTTTTTTATATACTTTATTGCTTATTAGTCATAGAGCTTTCTAAAGATCTGGCACGGGATATTTAGATATTGTGTGGGCATAACATGAATATGGATGAATTCAGTTTATTTTTCAAGGGTGGGATATTGAGAACGAAATGTTATTCTATTTGTAATTAGAGTTCTTTGGAATGACAGGTAACAGGTAATGATATACACACACACATGCAAAGACACACACACACATGCAAAGCAAGTATTATATATTATATATATATTATATATATATATACATATATATACATATACATATAATACATATATATGTATATACATATATATGTATATCATATATATGTATATACATATATATGTATATACATATATATGTATATACATATATATGTATACATATATATGTATATACATATATATGTATATATATATGTATATGTATATATATATGTGTATGTATATGTATATGTATATGTATATATATATATATATATATATATATATATATATATATATATATATATATATATATATATATATACATTTATACATACATACATACACTCTACAGAAATCTTCTGAACCTTATCCCACATTTTGCATGAATTCTTTGCTAGTGTATTACTTTTATTCAAATATCATGAAGAGAAGAATATCAGACATAGAAAAATGTATAATGAATGTAAATGATTTCTTATGATGTTATTTAATTTCATATTTATGATGCCTATTTTTATATGTAGAAATAAAGTTTTGGAGTGTTTGATATGGAATTATTTCAATACTTTTTTATTTTGTAATTGGAGTGTATAGGATTCTGTAGTTCATTCTGATATCAAATGTTCACCTCATGGTCTTCATTTCTTCACGTATTACATTTGCCATAAATGGAAAATGCAATAAGATGATTTTTCATGTAAAGAGTAAAGATTTTGGGGACATTTCAGTACAGTATAATAAAATGTTCACAGTATTTCTCTTTATAAGAAAATAGCGCAACATTTGGATGGCCCTGTCCTTATTAGATATTATGTGTGAGAAGAAAACAGTATATTATGGCAAAGTTGAATGATACATGCATCATATTGAAAGAGTATTTTGTAGAATATTTATTGATGTGTCATAAAAATGTCTATGAAGCATATCCCTGTGCTTCTTTCATTCCTTCTTGTTATTTTATACAAAAATTACTTGTTTTGGATGTGAGGGTAAAACTGTTACTATCCATTTAGGCATTGAGTATGTATTATAGAGCAGGCTTCTGTTTGTGTTACTAATGAAATACAATTTTAGTATTACATTTGTATGTTACAATTACTTATTGTTATCTTCTCAGTCTGGAAGCGTAAGAACAGTGGTACTATTGCGCATGTCCAAGACTAAAATGTGCTTTTTATATCATACTTCAATCATTAGACATTGTCGATACAAGTGAAAATATCTTGTGCTCAAAAGTTCACATCAGCATTACTTTAATGACAATGTAGTTAATTTCTGTGAAATTTAGACACATTATTAATCCATTGCACAATGCTTTATTTATTAGAACTGAGGCAGTTGATTTTTCACTTAATAAAGTAATCTCTATTTGTTGCTTTGTAAATGATGTATATTGTTTATAAGACTGTAGTAATTAGAAAACCATAAGACCAAAAGTAAACCGTAATACACTTCCCACTGTAGTTTCATATTAGACACCCTCACAAAGGAATTCAGTGTGATGATATTGTAATTATGACAATGGTACTGACAATATACTTATGATATTTATAGATGCACTATGTAAGGGAGAATCATGTTTCTTTACTTTGTTGCATTGTAGTTACAAAATGATTGTATACATTGTAGTGTGACTTTGTCCATGGTAAAATGTAAACAGACTATTCAATTGACAGCCATTTTGGTCTAATGTATGGTGATGAAAAAGAAAGTTTGAGTACAAAGATGAGAAGATAGGAAAGTTGTTGACAAAAGAAGTTATAATAAAAAAATAAACTAGCTTCTGTTTATTTTATATCCTTTTTATACATACTGAAGCTTATGCATAAACTGCAGATTGAGCTTATTGACATGTATCTGTATCCCAGCTAATCTCTAACTGCAGTATTTGTCCTGCTACTAAATCTGTTGTACTTGCTTCAGCACTACATATAGGGACTTAATCTGTTACGTTTGTTCCTTTTCCTATAATTCAATTTGAAAATAAAGTAAGGTAATAATGTGCCAAAGTTATCTGTGGCCACTATCATTTAAAATATCCCTTGCTGACCATTCTGCCTATCTTCATTGCTCTAACAAGTGATTACATTTTTACTCATTTCCCAGAATAGTAGATAGAATTAGTAGTGGATTCTCTGGATGCAGATGGTTATATTTAAATTACTGCTCTAATTACTGGGATTGTGGAGGGCTAATACAATTTTATGATTTGCATGCATGAAAGAGATACCTCTTTGCTATCTAATAATATGTTGTATGATAGATTTACAGAGCTTGTAGTTGAATCATGAAAATGTGTGTAAACAGCACTGGATTTATTTTGCTAGTCACCCATAAAGTAAAAAAAAAATTATCACCCTCTTTAAACCCACTTCACCCTTTCCACTTTGTTGATTGTATACATGATATGATTGTTTTTTATCACTTATCACCACCACTATTATCAACATCATTATTAGCATTATTAATTTTTTTTTTGTATCACCATTACCATTATCACTATCATTATAATTATTATTATCACGATTACTAATTTTCCTTTTCTGAGTTTTATTTCCTCCATATATAGTGACAAATCTAAACAGGTAAGGGCTAGGGGGTAGGTCCTTCAAGGGTCCCCACAATATTTTTCTCGTGTTTGATCGAGAAATATACATGGCAAAATAAAACATAAGTTATTTAAACATTTGAATTTAACACCTTTGGCTGTCTGGCACTTTATTGCCGAGAAGTAATTCTCTATCCTTTTTGGGGGGGTAAATGTCATATGATCTGGTTAATCAGCAACTAAAATCAGCATGATGAGGAATTTTAGCAAGAGTATCGCTTCCGTCCATTAAATTAAATGTCTCGGAAAGCGTGAGGAGCCTTGATTATGTTACAGAGGACTCCCATTTCCTTAGGTCCGTCTTAAATTACTATATTAGGGACCTTCTACTTTCTTCACTCTCACATTTACTCTATCAATTTCTCTCTCGTTTAATTGTTTGTTCATTCCTTTCGTTTAGTCATTAATTTATTTTCTCATTTTTTCTCTCTCCTTGTTCATTACACTCTTCATAGACTCTTCACGAGGTCTCTTAATCTCTCCCTTCCTTTCTTTCTTTCCCTCATTCATTTTTATGTCCGTTCACTCTCTTTCCCACTTTCTGTATTGTCAGTCGAGTCATAAACATCATTAGCTTCCCTGTCCACTTCTAGGTCATTACAATGATATGGCTTCAACTGAATTCTACTCTAAAAATACTCTGCTACATATAGGCTCTCCACATTGTCATCGTTAAAAAAATCGTTCGAAAATTATGCAAATGTAAGAAATTATCATTCAGTCCCGCATCAGATACAATAGATAAATGGGGCAAGTAAGTCAAGCAAGCACTGAATAACTGAGATGAAGTGAATGCTTAAGGAAGACGTAAGAGCTGCGATGGGATAAATAAGAGCTGTATGTATCTTATTTTATGTCAACGAGATTGTGGCTCTGCCCGTGACTCCTACTACTTACTAGTGAATTAATAGACATTATTGTGAATATCCTTTTATATATAAGCATTGTAAAGTGAAAGGATAATTTACATGCGTAAATTACTTTAAAAAATAATGAATACTGTGTTTGAGTGTAACCCTAAAAAGGGGAAAAGGTACAATTTATACAGAGACTTGACAAGCAAGGGACGCAGTCAATATTACGTCCACGAGAGGTGGTGGAACAACAGAATTGACCAATTACATATTATGATGTCTTCAAGGCTTCCTTCATGATACCAAATGATAATGATACCAAAGAACAGATTTTCATAAAATGAAAATGGA